AAGTTGGCTGATGAGCGTGCGAGCCACTTGGAGCTGGCTGATGAGCGCGTTGGCCACTTGGAGCTGGCTGATGAGCGCGCGGGCTACTTAGAGGTGGCCGGTGAACACGCGGGCCACTTGGTTTGCTATTTTGGTGGCTGATTAGCATGCGAGCCACTTGGTGGTGGCCGGTGAGCACGCGGGCCACCTGGCGTTGGTCGTTCTGGTGGTTCGTTGCCACGTCATAAACGTTTCACTGATTCACTTTATGCGTTTATCGACATCAGATGATCCCCTTTGACTCGGAAAATCCCCTTCGACTTGGATAATGGCGTTCATCGCCTTCTCTTTATCTCGAGCTGTGTGCAGACACCTATAAGCATTTTTAGACTTCTACAAGAGGGGACATCCTGTGTATGATCCTGACTCGATCACAATACAAGAAGCTAGGCGAGATCCTTATTTTATTAGAAGGAGTCTAGAAATTAAGGAAGAAGATGATGACTGAAGGAGACAGTTCAGCAATGCTAAATGAATTGGAGAAGCAGATGGAGACAATGAGTTCGACCCTCGTGCAACTCGTCTATCTTGTCCAAGACAAAGGAAACAAGGAGGAATCTTCTTCGAAAGGAAAGAAGAAACTTGTGGAGTCCGATAGAGAAGGCGAGAGTTCTGATTCAGATGAGGAGGCCCGTATTGTTAAGTCTGTTTCAAACCAAGAGGGTAAGGGTTCTTACTAGAATTTGAAGATAGACTTTAAAGTGGAGATTCCTGTTTATGACGGGAGTGTTAATGTCGAGAGGCTTGATGATTGGATAGAGCGGATGGAGACCTATTTCACACTCTACGGTATTCATCCAAGGAGAAGCTCGTGTTCATGACTTTGAAGCTTTCGGGACATGCACTGACATGGTGGAAATCCTATTGCAGGCAAGAGAAGAAGGTGGTGTCGTGGAACAAGTTCAAGAAACTACTTAGGAAGCAATTCTATCCGGTAGGGTTCCTCGAAGAGCGTTAGTACAAGTGGTACGGGTTGCGCCAACGGTTCAACCAGATCGTTCAAGAGTATACGACGGAGTTCTAGCAGCAGGCGATGGTCCTCAACATCGCAACAGAGGAATATCCCATTTTTATGAAGTATATGGCGGGTCTAAATGAATATATCCGGAAGGAGATGAGGCTTTTCATAGTTGAGTCCATTGCAGAGGCGAGTGTGAAGGCCATTTCCATTGAGGGTAGGCAAAAGAAGGGTAACGAAACGAAGGGGGACTCCAAACAAACGGGAGGAAAGTCTAGTGGCCCTCAACCTAAGGAAGAGAAGAAGAAGAAGGGTGACTCGGGGAAGGCAGGATTGACATGCAATCACTACAAATAGACAAGACACGTAGCTGATCGTTGCTGGGAGAAGTATCCTCATCTGAAGCCGAAGGGATTGAAGAAAAAGGAGGAGAAGAAGGCATACGTGGTATCGTAGGGTCCGAAGGAAGTTCCAGGGATGACAGCACCCAACAGCAGTCTCAACCTTATGGTAGGGAAGCAGAACACGACGGAGGATGAAGACCTGAGGGAGCAGCTCTTTGTTTTAAAATTACAGATCAAGACCAGTTTAGTTGTTGCCATAGTGGATCCAGGGAGCCAGAAGAATTTTATATCTGAGGCTTTGGTTCAGAAGCTGAGATTAAAGACGGTTAAATATCCGAAACTCTATCCTTTATGGTGGATTCAGAAGGAGGCAGGATTGAGTGTGGTCAACCAATGCACTTTCAGATTTACGCTCCACGAGTCGTATATTGACGAGGTCATATGCGACGTCGTTCCGTTGGATGTTTGCCAAGTAATATTGGGCAATCCTTATTTATGGGATATGTTTGCGGTCTACGATAGACGAGCCCAGAAGTATACATTCACTAAAGAGGGCGAACAATTCATTTTTTGTTCGGCATCTCTTCCACAGGAGACGAGTTTGGTGACAGTGGCTCAGGCAAAGAGACTAGTGAATGCGAGCAAGAGGTTCATATTGCTAGTCATTAGGTCTTATGAGGAGCAGCTAAGTAGGGTGTGCTTGACTACCTTGAGCAAGTTTCAGGAGGGCGAGCTTGACAGGTTGAAGGCCAAATAGGTGGACTTGTTTTCAGAGATCACAGGACTACCACCACGATGGGGTATGGAGCATGAGATTATGTTGACCGGTGATAGTTCTTTGCCGAATATAGGTCTATACCACACATATGTAGAGGAGTCTGAGGAGATCAAGAGGCAGGTTCAGTAGCTTTTAGAGACATGAGTGATTGTGCCGAGTTGTTCCCCTTGTGGGTCTCTAGTATTATTGGTGCCCAAAAGGATGGAGGTTGGCGCATGCGCGTGGATTACCGATTACTCAACAAGATAACCATTAAGAATCGCTACCCATTACCATGGATTGACGATCTCATGAATCAGTTGGAGGGAGCAAGGTTCTTCACGAAGTTGGATTTGAAGTCTGGCTACCATCAGGTGAGGATTCGGGAGGATAACACTTAGAAGACTGCATTCAAGACCAAGCAGGGCCTATTCGAGTGGTTGGTGATGCCGTTTGATTTGTGCAACGCTCCGGCTACCTTTATGAGGCTTATAAATGATTTGTTACGACCCTTTATAGAGGACTTTGTGATAGTTTACCTCGATGACATCTTGGTGTACAGTAGGACCTGGGAGGAGCATCTTCTTCATGTTAAGAAAGTGTTTGAAGAGTTGCAGAACGGACAGCTAAAGCTCAATAGGAAGAAATGCGAGTTTGGGAAGGACGAGTTGGTGTATCTCGGCTTCATCGTGGGGAAGGGCCAGCGAAGGATAGATCCAAGCAAGGTGGCGGTGATCATAAAGTGGCCGACCCCTAGGACAGTGACGGATGTGAGAAGCTTCATGGGGCCTTGCCAGTACTTGCACAAGTTCATTCAATATTTTTTGACTTATGCGGCACCTTTGCATGGCCTTACAAAGGTGAAGGTTCAGTTCATGTGGGGTAGGGCGCATGAGGAAGATTTTCAGCTACTAAAGAAGAAAATCTCGGAGGCACCGGTTTTAGCTTTACCGAATTTGCAGAGGACCTTCAAGGTGGAGCCAACGCTTCTAGTTATGCTATTGGCACTATGTTGATTCAGGATGGTAAGCCAGTGGAGTACCATTCAGAGATGTTTACGGGTGCTATTCAAAACTACCCCACCTACGATAAGGAGTTCTATGCACTTTATCAAGCGATCAAACATTTGAGGGTGTATTTGTTGGGTAAGGAGGTGGTTGTGCACTCAGATCACAAACCATTGGAATTTCTACATGCCCAGACGAAGCTGCAACAGGCACGACATATGAATTGGATGTACTATTTGATGGCGTTCAACATCATTATTAGGTACAAGAAGGGAACGACGAACAAGTTAGCCGATATGTTATCTCGCCCACCAGTGAGGGCATTTTTGGTGGCGACGCGCATTCTGCCCTTGGTTCCTTTGAAGTATGTACAGATGTACACATCCAGCAGAGATTTTAGCAGTGTGTTTGAGCGGGCGACGGCTAGTCGAAAGAGGGAGTATGCGATTGGTGATGATGGTTTGTTGTATCGTGGGATGTCGCTCTGCATTTTGGAGGATGGCGACCGATTACAGTGGATTTGAAAAGCACATACATCATGTGTGTAAGGTCATTTTGGGATTCAGAAGACGCTTCTCAATCTACGACGCCATGTCTTTTGGTCAAAGATGTTGGAGAATGTTACTCAGTATGTTGGGGGTGTAAGCTATGTTGTATCTCAAAATTAACCTTCCAATAGTAAACGGGGTTTGTATCTACCATTGCCGGTACCTTTGAGACCATGGGAGAGTATTTCTATGGATTTATTAGGGGGATTGCTGACGACCAAGAGAGGACATGATTATTTGTTCGTTGTGGTGGACCGGTTTAGCAAGATGGTGATCTTGATTCCTTATAAGAAGATCGTGACGTGAGCGGGTGCAGCACAATTATTCTTTAAGCATGTGTGGAAGCACTTTGGGTTACCAAATTCGATTATTTCCGATCGAGATAGCCAGTTTCTCGGATATTTTTGGGATTCTTTGTGGAGCTTGATGGACACTAGGTTAAAGAAGAGCATGACATTCCATCCACAAACAGACAGACAAACATAAGTGGTTAATCAGACTATGATGCACATGTTAAGAGGATACAATTACAGGCATCCCAAGACTTGGGATGAGAGTTTACCATATCTTCAGTTTATGTTTAATCGGGCTTTTCATGGATCTTCGGGGAAATCACCGTTTGAGGCTTGTTATGGGTTTTTACCTTCGAGCCCGTTTGATCTCATGTTTTCAAGTGAAGCTATGGCAGACGACAAGGAAGGGAGTGAAAGGCAACGAGCTCAGCGATTTTTGGAGAAGATTGCACATATTCATGCCACGGTTGAAGCACAATTTAAGAAATCACAAGCCAAGTACAAGGTGAAACATGATCAGCATCGAGTTCCTTGTAACTTTGGTATAGGTGACATGATATGGCTGAAATTGAGTAAGGAGAGGCTAAAGGGAGAAGGGAAGAAGTTGAAACCTATACGATATGGTCCGTTTCGGATTCTCGATCAGATTGGTGATAACGCTTTCAGGCTGGATTTGCCACCTTACTTAGGCATGTATTCGGTGATCAATGCTGAGTATTTGAAGTTGTTTGAGCCTCCATTGCTGGATGATGAAGGTGACGACAAGGTGATCTTACCGCATGTTGAAGACTTGTGGTTTGATAGAGAAGAGCCGCTGAAAGAAGATTGCATTTTGGAGTGGAAGATGACCACGACGAGGCGGGGACCGAAGGAGTCGTTTCTCATTGGACGTTAAGGTCAGGTTCCTAGCAAGGCTAAGTGGTTCAATAAGGAAGGAGGAGTTCGCGGGTTTCCTCAACTAAAGTTTTAACTTGAACGGGACTTCAAGTTCCTAAAAGAGGGACCCATGATACGGATATATCTTCTCTTCGGAACTTAGTGATCCTCATGGCAACTTGAGAATAGCTGATTCTCATGGTAGCTTGAGAATAAAGGTGTAAAACAGTATAGTGGAACGCAGGTTGGAGTGTGAAACGAGATGACGAATCGAAGAATCGAAGCATCCAGTTTTTAGCCCGTGAGTCGACTCATAACAGTTATGAGTCGACTCATGCCTGTCATAAGTCGACTCACGAAACCCAGCCATTTGTTAGCAGTCTCTGACGAGTCGACTTATCTCAGTCATGAGTCGACTCATTGCTGGTTTTGTGTTTTGTCCAGTTTCGGACAAGTCAACTCATCTCAGTCGTGAGTCGACTCATTGATGGTTTCCTGGTTTGTTTGGGTTTCTGTTTACATGTTTTCCTATGGGGTTTAGGCTTGGTTATTTACCACTTTACCATCCATGTTGTTCCACATATAAAAGGGATTGTTTTAGGGTTTTAAAACAATCAAGAGAGGTTAGATTGTACTAGGACAATTGAGAGAGATTGTTCTTCAATTCTAGTGAGATTGTGAGAGATTGTAAGTTATTTGATTCTCATAATCTAGAGAAGGTATTTTTCTTCGCCATACTGAATTACTCTTGTGTTCTTGTTATTTTCTTCTCAACCCACCTTTGATAATTTCGTGATCAAATATGCTCGCACGGCGACTCTTATCAGGGCCCCAAATGCCTGACTGAACACTACCTAAAAGACCCCTCGATCGATGGATAGAAGTGTCAAACTCTATCTCGGTCTTATTGTTCATACTAATATGCTCAAAGGATTTCAATCTACAGGTCAAAGCTGAAAGTACCCTAATGCCACTAGGAAAGAACCCTAGAGGGGGGTGAATAGGGTTTATACTAATCTAATCCGATTTATGCTAAATTAAAAACTAATTAACAATATATCCTAGCAAGAATGATATTCAACAAGATATGAGCAAGGATATACAATTAACACAAGAGTGAAATACACATAAACAAGATAAACAAGATAGTGGGCAATATAAACAAAGAGCAATTGACAATGATGATATAAACAATAAGCACGAATATAAATGAACGCCAATGACAAACGCAAACAAACGATATGATCACGGAGTTCGGTCCCCACGACCTAAGTCTCCGCTCCTCACCTTGAGGAGATCTCCACTATCACACCGGGTTTTCCACGCTTACCCAAAAAATATTTACACCTCACAATGTCGGTTTTCAATACTCACCGATCAACGTCCACAATCACTCACAATGTAAACACACTAATTACCACCTCAAGTGTTGGGCTCTAGCCTGTGTCTCCCTCAAGTGTTAGGAATTACAACCTCTCTCTAGGGATTACCACCTATTCCACTCCTCTTGGGACGACCCCGTTTCTCACCACACACTCCTTTTGGTGTACTAGTATAATACAAAGTGAATCCTCATGATACAACAATCGGTTTTCTAGTTCACTGAAAACTTCACAACTTACACACTTGCAATTACACTTCATACCCTCTAAGTGTTGGCCTAGCCCGTGTCACATTCCTCAAGTGTTCAGAATTACCACCTCTCACTAGGCTTTACTACCGACCCCACTTCTCTTAAAACCGACCTCGTCTCTCACCAACCACTTCTCTCGATGTCTAAGTGTAATACAATGTGCAACTCATAATTAGGCTCACAAATCAAATGAATGTTTTCTAAACAAGGTGAGAACTCAATTAAGCAAAACTCAATGTTACAATCTCTCACAACCCTAATATACTATGAATGCAAATATAATAAGCTCTAGTAGGTGTGTGCAACAAAGAGATTTAATAAATCAAACTAAACTCAATATAAACACTAGCTTAATAAAATGATAAAAAAAATATAAATTCAATGCTAGAAATTGAGTTTAGAAAACTTCTCTATAGATAACAAGAGAGAGGGAGAAGAGTTGAATGCTCAAACACCAAATAGATGATCTCCACTTGCTCTTGTGAAATTCTCTTCACAAACTAAACTTGTAAAAACTCTCTTAAACAAACAACAAACACCCTTAAACTTGTTTAAATAATTTTCTTAGTTACCCTCAGAAGTTAGAGGGTATGGGGTATATATAGGTACCCCAAGAAACCAAAGAAAAAGACTAAAATCCCAAAAGAAAACAAAGCTGGAAAATAGCCATTACTGTGCAACGGACACTTTATGGGTCGACTCATAAAAATCATGAGTCGACTCATAACCTAGCCATTATAGGCTAAAAACAGCTTATGGGTTGACTCATAAAATTCATGAGTCGACTCATCATGCATGGGTCGACTCATGAAGTCATGGGTTGACTCATCAGAAACAAAACACACTTTCAAGCATAGTTTATGAGTCGACTTATGACAGGCATGAGTCGACTCAACCTGTCTGGGTCAACTCATGATGTTATGAGTCGACTCATTAGAAACAAAATGTAAACTACACAACAGTTTATGAGTCGACTCAACACTGTTCATGAGTCGACTCAAGACATGCACACAGCCTGTTTTAAACAGTACATGTCAACATAAAACAGGGTTTAAAAATATCAAATAAATTTCAAAAAATGTAAAACTTTGGAAAATAATTGTATACATGATAATAAACATGCTACAAAAACTGGTTTTTAATAAGTACCTCCCAAATGAGAAATCTCTTTATTTTTCAAAACTAGACCAAAACATAAAAATATGAAATACTTGTTTTTGTTATTTTGACTAAACCATGTTTTAAAACTTTGTAAAATGATTTTATAAACTTGATAAGAAGTATAAACTATAGTTGTTAAGTCTATAAACCATATGAACCAAAAACACTATATTTTTCCAAATACAATAGAATATGAAACATATAAAAGTATATATGAAGATATATATTGTTTCATATCTATATAGCTAACCCAAAACATATATGTATATATATAACTATATATATACAAAAACCAAAACGTGTATGTATGTATATATATAATTGAGCTTAAAGTACTAACACACATAATATAAAACCAAAACTAAATTACCCAAGCTTGATGAAGGTCTTCAATGAGCTTGACTTGGTAAACTTACAGATGAAGTTTGAACTTGGATCTTCAACTTTAATTGCATAGGCTTCATACTATAATTCCACCAACCTCCATTGGATATGATCGTTGAGGCTCGATTCCATCCATCCTTCAACGTATTGTTTGCCTAGAATAAATACAAAATATAAATATTAGAAAAATAACATTAGAAGTAAATTATTTGTAAATCATCATCAAAACAAAAGGACCCAACAAAAGCACTCATCAACAAACCATGCACGACATAACCAATCAAATAACTCAGCCTTAACAAATGCCACAGTCTAGCCAAATCTAAAGAAGTCGTCATCTCTCTATCAAACACCATGCTCTCAATCAAATAATACAAATTATTCCTCCTGACGCCCTTCATCACAATCATGGATCCTAATGTGACCTTCAAACGTGAATCGACCAAGGTTACCCTATAGACTGCTACCTCCAAAACTCTAAGTGAAATGATGTTCTTCTTCAACTGAGGAACGAATCTCACTCCAACCAACTCTCGAATCACTACGTCACTCATCCTAATCTGAACGGTACCGATACCACCAATAGGACATTCATGATCATTACCCATGAGAATGACCTCCCCTCTTTCCAACTCCTGAAAGCTGGAGAACCAATCCCTCCTAGGTCAAATATGGTAAGAAGCATCCGAATCCAACATCCATTCTGTAGAGTCGGTAACACAAACTGACAGAAGTGCAGATAATGAGTAGCCCGAAGAATTCGAATCTGAATTATTGCCACTAGCCTTGACAACATTCACCTTTGAAGCTTGAATAACTTTCCCCTTATTCTTCCCGGCTCGATCAACCAACTTTGGGCATTCGGCTTTCTAATATCCATCATCTTACAAAAGGCACACTGATTCCTACGAACTCCAAGATGTGCCCCTCTAGACTGCGATCTCCTACTACGGTTTGGACTCTTTGCTCTTATGACCAATGCCCCCGCTAATGGCTCAACTGAAATCTCCTTATCCTTCTTTCGAAGCTGATAATTCACAAGTGCAATGATGACCTCACTATAAGAAAGAGATGTCTTTCCATTAATAAGAGTAAGAACGAAGGTCCCATATTCCTCGTCAGACAAGGAACTCAACAACAACAATGCCTTATCCTTATCTTCAACCATCACATCTACATTCGTCAAATCCGCAAGAAACTTCGTGTAGTGGTTCATGTGATCACCAATGGAGGTCCCCTTCTTTAATCGGAAGCAATAAAGCCTCCTCTTCAAATGCAAGCGGTTCTCTACACTATTGGTCAAATACTTGCCCTCTAGGATCTCCCAAATCTTCTTAGCCAAAGTCACATTGATCACATCATATTTTAAATCTTGAGTCAAATAAGATCTAATCACACCACACGTCATTCTATTCATCTTTTTACAAACCTTCTCCTCAATGTCGTCCGGTTTCCCGTCCAACTCCAAAGTATCTTCTAAATTTTGCGCATTGAGTACATCCAAGACTTCACATCTCCAAAGACCAAAATTATTTGTGCCATTAAACTTCTCCATATCTATCTTCATAGAGTGGATATTCAAACTTTGGACGGTCTTCATACCGGAAGTACCCTCCACAACTCATTCTTTCCCGACCATCTTTCTCAAAGCACCAAAACAAAATGCAGAACAAATAAAGAATAGATCTAAAACTAAAAAAATAGAGTCTTTACCAAAAAAAAATCCCACCTTTATCACCAAACGAAGCCCTAGGCGAGCCTCCAAAACGACCTACTCCTCCAAATAGCCCAAACGTAGCCCGAGCTCTGATACCACTTGTTGTGTGCTGCAGAAGCCAAATAACCAAACCAAAGTGCTACGAGAAATCAAATCAAACGAACGTCGAGAGAAGGCCAAATGAACCAAATCAATGCCACAAACACAAACAACCAATTTTAACGTGGTTCGGCAAGTTGCCTACGTCCACGGGGCAAGAAGGGGGTATGATTTTTTACTAATAGAGAACAAGAGTACAAACTAAGATTACAAATCACTCAAACTTACCAATTAATCTCACCAACAAATCTCTAATTCTCTCCAAACAAAACCCTAACCAATAGCTCAGAAAATACATCTTTTCTGTGCTCCAAATATCCCCAATTTTCTTCTCAATTCTCTCTTCCAATTGTTCTATATATATAGAAATCTTAAAATCATAAACATACTAGGAATTCTAAAATAAAAAACAAAACAGATTAGGAATCCTAATAACCTGTTACCAAAACAGATTTGGAATCATATTACCAAAACAGATTAGGAATCCCAATAACCTGTTACCAAAACAAATTAGGAAACATATTAGGAACCTGCTATCCAACAGTCTATTCACAACAAATATAACTAGAATGAGTCTCTTTGCAATCGGGTGATATATACTACAGAGAGTCTCTTCTCAATTAACCCCATCTAATAAATGGGTACATTTGTAAAAAGAAATTGACACCTCACAAAGAATAGTTGTAATTGCAATTGTAATTGCAATTTCTGAAATTATAGTATTGAAATAGCACAATTGTCACTATAAGTACACATCTTCATACCTGCCAAAAAAGAAAGAGAAAGAGGGGGAAAAAAACCCGACCTATGGTTGCATGAAGTTACACCCTAATTAATTACGATTAGGAATATTGAGATACCATTAGATTTGTACCAAAATGAGAGATCGCCGTGTCTACCGCCCACCACACTGTACCAAGGGCTAACCAGGCGAAGCTTCTAGTACCGTATAACACTGCCACCTAAAGGCTCCGGGACCTACACAGCACTACCGCTGCCGGAGAAACCGGATACGTTACAGACCTCCTGAGGAACAATTTAACACGGATATCCTCCTATATAAGTAGCTTCTCGTTTCCCTCCTCTCATCTCAAACTCCCATCCCCTCGCTCTCTGCTCACATTAACCATCTTCTTTAATTCTCTCTCTCACTACTTGAGTCTTGTGATAATCTGTTCTGATATAATATATATATATATAATACCTGATATCTAAGTTCGATGGGCAACAAAGACATTTTATACCCTGTGGCAGCGGCCTCGAATCCGCCCACCGGGCTACCGCATCCCTCCTTCCCGCCCTTTCCTCGAGACCTTTCGCGCCAACTTGAAGGAGACCTTCTTCCCTGATGACCCACTGAGGCAGTTCAAGGGAGAGAGTGCGTCGAGGAGGTTTATATTGTTCCTGCAGTACATCCTACCTATACTCCAATGGGCCCCATCTTATACTTTCAGCCTGTTCAAGTCCGATCTGGTCGCCGGGATCACGATAGCTAGTTTGGCGATCCCGCAGGGCATTAGCTATGCTAAGCTTGCTAATCTGCCTCCTATTCTTGGCCTGTGTAAGTTCTCGTTTAAGGATATATTAATGGATTCAGATCCTCTTCGCTATCTAAAAGATAGTGGAGGGACCACTACATAATCACAACCATTGATTATCTAGTTAGTGATTGTGATTTTTTCTTTGAGTGCAAATTAGGAATGAACGCAATACACGGGGATATGGTGGGTGTTAGATTTAGATTGTATCATAACCGTCTACTAAGTAATCAACGATTGAGATTAAAAATAGTGGTCTCTCCACTACTTTTTTGTAGTGGAGAGGATGCAAATCCTATATTAATTGCTGGGTATAGTAGGAAGTAACTGACTCGAAAAGTTGGGTTTTAATATTATTAAGGAAAATGATTATGAATTGATAACTGCTAATTTTGTTTGAGTGAGTTGTTAAGAGAGAAATTAGTAATATTAGGACTCATCCATTAGTCAAGATAAATGTATCTAACCATTTTGTATTTTTTTGGGAAGGTCATGTTAGGATAAAAAAATACGACGTGCCTCACTTTCAGTTGTTAATTGCGGAAAACGAAAAAAGAATTCCAAGAAATGGGGCCGAAAATCGTGTGGTATAAGTTGTACTGCAGGGACGATATGACTAACGTGGACTTGACATGTTGAATGCAGATTCAAGCTTTGTGCCGCCGCTGGTGTACGCTATGATGGGGAGCTCGAAGGACCTAGCGGTGGGCACGGTGGCTGTTCCGTCGCTTCTATTGGCGTCGATGCTCGGAAAAGAGGTCTCGGTGTTGCAAGAGCCAATGGTTTACTTACACCTGGCTTTTACCGCCACTTTCTTCGCCGGAGTTTTTCAGTTTGCTTTGGGTGTATTACGGTACCTTTTACTTACTTATTTTTTTTTTAAAAATTTTGTTTTAGTTGAAGTTTTAGAGATTGTAGCGATGAAAATGATGTCTTTGATTGCTATTTATCTTTTACATTGGTTATTAGATATTGTTGAAATATAGTTAGTTATTTTTTTCGAGTATAAATTAATTACATGACGTCAATATGTTGCAAAATAATCTCTTAATTCTAATTTCCATGTAGATGAAGTATTTATTCTCTTGTACATATTATACATGCATCCTCATATTATAGGCACAGAAAGCAGAGAGAGAGAACTTCATTTAACGTTAGAGAATCAAATTAAGTGATAATAAGAAATTATGGACACGTTGGTAAACCCTCTATAGTAAGAGGGTATACTGTATCTTCAATTAACTCCCATATAAAATATAGAATTTACAGGATTTATCTACTTTTGTTAAAATAATGCTAATTATACTGTTAATTTCATATATACTGTTTTGAAAGCATATATAACTAGATTAGAAGCATGTGTACTTTTGTCACGAGCACATTCTGTGCGTCAACATTTTTGGAAGTTATTTATAGTACGAAAATATTAGCATGCTTATCATTATCCCCTTTGTTTTCAAGGGCTATGTACTTGATGTATTAATTAATTTGATTTGACCAAATTAAAGTACATGAATGGAGGATGTTCCCTACCAAATTATGTGATAACGAAAATAGACTCAACTTTTTGTGTTGAATTCTTACAAAAATTAATAATTTGTGGGATGTTAGATGTGGACTCAAATAATATAGTTGCTGTTCTTTCTTCTTTGGATACAGTTCGTATCCTTCTTTTGTAAAGATACTTAGTTTTATTTTAATGAACAGGGTATATCCCTTGTTTTTTACTTCAAAAATAATAATAATATAGTTGCTGTTTCCAGTTTCCGAGGGAAGTATGATCAACATGATCGATAACGTCATGTTGGGTCCCTAATAATGTTAGTGTTAGGTTTCATCACATATACAGTACTTCATAACTAAAGCTGTTTGTATTTATTAATAAACATTTGCGAAGTTGGCCCTCGTAAAGCACAAATATATAGTTAATTTAAGGTAAAAATCATATTATTTGTGTTCTCGTTTCCTCGTAATATTAACAACAAAATAGAGTTAATAATACTACCAAAGATATGTAGTCAAAAAAGTATAATTGCTAATAAAATAGTTTAAATATATATATACAATCGAATGTATCCTACATTTAGCTAGGGGTTGCATGTGCAATTAATCCTTTTAGATTATTATTTTTTAAACATTTTTCTTCTCAACTGTTTGTCGATAATGATTGCAGATTGGGATTCATAGTGGACTTCCTGTCACACGCAACAATAGTGGGATTTATGGGAGGAGCGGCCACAGTGGTTTGTCTTCAACAACTCAAAGGAATTCTTGGCCTCCAACATTTCACCACAGCAACTGATCTTGTGTCCGTCATGGAGTCTGTCTTCGCTCAAACTCATCAGGTTCAAATTAAATTCACCCGTTCTTAATTTTTAATATTAGCGGTGGCATAATTAATGAAAACCCTCGATTTGGAATTTAATAACTTTCAAGTCCAAAGTATTACAGGCTGTTTTGCACAGGCCATAAACATCATGAGGATTCAGGGTTTGCAGACCTTGAGGATGTGGCATGAAGAACAAATAAATAAATAAAAAGGAGAGAAAATAAAGAATCTTCTTCCTAATTTTTTCGTGGTCACAAACTTAACCATATTTTTTTTCATAGATCTGTGTCGAGCCAGTATTATTCAATAAAACATTATTCTAGCCATTTAAGTGGAATATAAGGGCATGTTTGGTAAACCACTAAAACCAGACCGGGTTTAAACCTGGTCTAGTTTGAATACTTTCTTATGTTTGGTATGTTTGGTAAAAGTGAGACCGGAATAAGCCTAACTTATTTTAGTAAATTTTTAGCCTCTTAACCAAGCTAGAATTGATCCCACTTCTACCTAGGACCAATCCTCACATGGGTAAGAAACAAAACAAAGCAGGCCTATTTTTGCCTAGGTTGTCAAACCGAGTCTGGATTTGCAAGAATCTAGCTTTCACTTTTATTTTTATTTTATTTTATTTAAAAAAAGCCCCTTTTGAGAACATAAATTCACATCCATGACTCACATGGGATTTTATTCTTGTTAAATTATACATTTATCGACCTTACATATTAAGACACCAAAGGCAAACGTATCAAAATCTAACTGGCTCCTATTAGTTGGTGTATTCACATTTTCGCCCCCTAAAACTCGTATTTAGCAAATTTTGCAAGAGTAATCTTTAAGATAGTGAACATGCCAAGCAAATGATGTAACATGTGGAATTATGTGATCACAATTGCTTTGCATAAATCCGCTGGTAATTAGTATATATATAGCTTTTATGCCCCCAAATTACTTTTGATTGGAGATAGAGCCAACTTCACCTTGGACTTTAGTTAAGAGCCAAACGGGTTCATTTGGAATTTCTTTTTCCCTATAAGTTGTAACCCATCATTTATTTATGGTGCTAACCCATTATGCTTACTTTATTGATTATTTTATATTTTATTCACCATTTTGTTTGATTCTCATTATTGCAGTGGAGATGGGAGAGTGTGGTGCTTGGATTTTGCTTCCTTTTATTCCTCCTTAGCACCCGCTACATTGTAAGTAATGTTCCCTTTCCTTGTTGAAATAACCATATCTAATTTTTTTTTTTAAAAAAAAGGAAAAAAAAGTCATTTTCCAAGATCTTCAATCTTTAGATATGTGCACCATACAAAAATTCCTTATAAACTAATGCTACCCACAACTTAACATCTACGTCTTATATTTTTGATATACCATTTATGTACTCTATTACTATTGAATTTGGGGGGGTCCATGGCCACAAAAAGATGCTAGATGACAACATTTATCCATGCTTGATTTTATATATCATTTAAAGCAACAGGGGTTTAGCGCATCGTGTGAACACCTTAGAATCAAATTAATGAGAAAAAAAATTCAGACAATCTTCTTTTTGAGCTGAACTTTTATTGTTGTCCATGGATCTTATTCATTATCCAAATGTTGCTCATTTCTTAATCTAATGAATAGTTTTTCCTCCTATATTTAGTGATGTCTTAAACTTTGAAAAGATGATTAGTATTGACAAGTAAGCTTCTCACAAGTTTTGAGCATATAAGGATGGAATATCTAATTGATTTTTTTTTTAAAAAAAAATAGAACTTTCATGCTTGTGGGGAAGCAATATTATATTAGGAAAGTCTTAAGGATTTTCACCCAAGATATAATACTTGATAAATGTTGCTATCTTTATTTAGCAAAATGAACCGTCATGAGATCTAAATACATCGATGTCACTAACAAAATATGTCTTATAACTAGTCCATTTTTTTAAATTCAATTAATAAAACGAGTCATCTCTTATAATATTTCTTAAAATACTTAGTAATGATATGGTACCAAAATGCACTTTGCTTTTTCCTGCTTTTTTCATATGGGCAACTTGTGGCGTGTTTGGATCATGTCTTATCTCTTGATTGGACTAAAAAAAATGCCAGTTTTATGCGGGCCATGGTTCGGCACAAACAACGCTAACCACGTGCACCCATTTAGATTTTGGGTGGTCTGCTCGTTCTTTTATAGGCCTCGTTTCTCAGTTCGTGTATGCAGTCGGGGCCCAATAGTCACGTCTTAGATTAAGGGCCCGTGACATTTTGGGATGCCCAACCAACCACTAGCCTCTAAAAATGGACAAGAGACCCAAAGGGTAAAATCATCAGCTTTATCGTGGGCCCGTTAGAATCCCACGGGCTTAGTTGACCCAGTCTCTTGCATCCTTTTCGAATCTCTAAAAGGCCGGCATATTAGGACGTGTGGTGTACCAAAATATATATTTTTATGCATCATTAATACAGTACAGTAGACTGGTTATCGGTAGATAATTGCTCACCATTATTCTTACTGCGTTTGAATGTCACAGAGCAAGAGGAGGCCCAAATACTTCTGGGTGTCCGTGGCAGCTCCGTTGACGGCGGTGATCCTCGGAAGCATTTTAGTTTATCTCACCCACGCCCAAAATCACGGTATCGAAGTGGTTAGTTCTCAAAATAAAACTCCACAAATTTCAGTCGTCGGTAAATTTTTTTTGTTTACGACCCTACATTGCAATGGGCCACGCCGTGAGAAGACTGGGCTGGCCCATTAACCATGTTCTGGGCTTTTATCGTTAAATAAAATCATATATCATATATTTTTTCTGTTGCAGATAGGGTACCTAAAGAAAGGGCTTAATCCACCATCACTAACAAGTTTGATACTGTCTCCTCCGTACATGATGCTTGCTATGAAAACCGGCATCATTACCGGCATAATTGCTCTTGCTGTATGTGCTCTTATAAATTTGAATTTTATTTTTTTTACTTAAAAGATTGATCTAATTAGTAATACTCCGAGGGGACTTCTTACGATCAAATTTGTTGTTCATTTGGGCTGCTTGCAGGAAGGAATTGCAGTGGGAAGGAGCTTCGCCATGTTCAAGAACTATCACATTGATGGCAACAAAGAGATGATCGCATTCGGGATGATGAACATGGCTGGATCAATAACATCATGCTACTTGACTACTGGTATATTTCCTTCTCAATTTTATAAGTATTGTAACGAAATCTATGGTGTATTTAATTCTGAGTTGTGAGTTAGGCAACTGTTGATACTATTCAAGATGCAGATACTATAGATGCAAATTTAATTCTAAAGTATATAAGTTGAAAGTCTCGGATGATGTCAACATATTTAATTTAACCATGCATCTTATGTTGTCCTTATCAATTTTTTCAAATCTTAAAGGCTCTAGTTATTCTAGCTCATACTTACTGAAAATTTTGATCCTGATCAGGTCCGTTCTCAAGAACCGCAGTGAACTACAACGCAGGATGCAAGACTGCAATGTCGAATGTAGTATTGGCGACAGCAATGATGATCACATTACTGTTCTTGACTCCTCTCTTTCACTATACTCCTCTCGTCGTTCTTGCCTCCATCATCATCTCTGCGATGCTCAGTCTTATCGACTATGAGGCCGCAATACGTTTATGGCATGTTGACAAAATCGATTTTTGCGTGTGCATTGGTGCCTACGTTGGTGTTGTCTTTGGAAGTGTTGAGATTGGCCTAGTCCTTGCGGTAATTTTGCGTTTCAAGGCACTTTCTTTTTTGGGGGGTTAACTGTGGGTAGAACCCTTACAGTATTGCTGTTTAATCTGAACTTACACGCATCTAGTTTTATTGTTGCAAACAGACCTCTGAGTGAAATTAATTAGCTCTTTCTCTAAGGGTGAAATAGTTAAAAAAAAATTCACACAGGGGGGTCTATCTGCAACAACAAAACTAGCTAGTGTAGTAAGTTCAGAGCAGAGATATACTACATGCAGTATAACCCTTCTTTTGAATTATCTTTAACATTTTGCTAATTGTTTTAAAAATTCATCTTAATTTCTAGGTCGTGATCTCGCTATTTAGAGTCTTGTTGTTCGTCGCGAGGCCTAGGACTTCTGTTCTAGGGAACATACCGAACTCTGCAATATATCGGAGGGTTGATCAGTACCCAGCAGCACAGAGTGTACCCGGAGTGCTCATACTACAAATTGATGCTCCGATATATTTCACCAATGCTAGCTACTTGAGAGAGAGGTGCGCTACAGAATCGAACATGTACCGTGCATGTTTGTGCATGTTGTTTTGTTATTGAATGCTAATATATATCATGTTTATGCTCAGGATATCCCGGTGGATCGACGATGAGGAAGGTAGGCTGAGAGCTAAGGGAGACACAAGTAGCTTACTGTACGTGATCTTAGACATGGGCGGTAAGCAAGGATTTCGCACGTGTGGAAACTGTTGGTGTGTCGATCACATGTGAGGGTGTATAGGATTTACTAAACTTCACCCTTCTCTTTTATGTTGCAGCTGTATCTAGCATTGACACAAGTGGCATTAGCATGCTTGAGGAATTGAAGAAGAGTGTTGAGAGAAGGGGCCTCCAGGTATTTAAAAAAAAAAAAAACTTGGATCCTCCCCTTATTTAACAGTAGAAAATCGTAAACATCCATCCACCTACATTCAAAAAACTATCATCCATTGTTCATTAAATGGCTGATGCACCCCCTTGTATTATGGTGAGCTAGCCACACTCTAGATTTTTCATTGGCGCTAAAGATTCCTTCATTGATCGTTGTATGGGTGTCACGCGATGTCAATTTGTTACAGAGAGACCACTTAATATGGATATTTTACCATGCACACACAAAGATCTAACCCAACTTTGATTTCAGATAGGATAGCAGCTTTATAATTAACCCTTATAAATAGGATTCGGATCCTCTTCACTACCTAAAAAGTAGTGGAGGGATCACTACATAATCACAAGCATTAATTATTTAGTTGGTGGTTGTGAAGATTGTATCATGACCGCCTACTAAGTAATCAACGATTGGGAATAAAAATAGTGATCTCTCCACTATTTTTTTTTGTAACGGAGATGATCCAAATCCTTATAAATATGACTGTATCCAAATATTTGCTGAGGCTTAATTTGTACTTACCGTCTAATTACCTAATTTGATTTTCCATAATCAGCTTGTGTTGGCTAACCCCGGAAGCGAGGTGATGAAGAAGCTCGACAAATCAAAAGCCCTCGAGAAAATCGGCCAACAGTGGATATTCCTCACTGTAGCAGAGGCCGTTGGCGCGTGTAGCTTCTTGCTTCACACGTACAAGCCAGGAGCTGTTGCTAATGGCGCTGTAGCTGACGACAGCAATGTCTAAGATGGACACGTATCGCATTGTAATTGGCTTGATTGGTCTCCATTTGCTTTTTTGTAAGATATTATTAGGCAAATGAGATTGAGTGTACCCCCCCTCCTATTTTTAAAGTAAATGGAGGATTTCCATCTTGTAGCCCTTTTGTCATAGTCCGAATTAATGTATTTTGGAGAAGGTGAAAAATTTTCCTCTCAAAATGATGTAAATTTTCTTCTCAAAATGATGTGGAGGGCCCGTTGGTTAATGTTTAAAATAAAGGATGGCGAAAGATGAAATTTTATAGAATTAGGGACTGTTTGGATCAGTTTTTTAGATCGGTAAAAAGGAGGAAAGCTATAAAAAATATCAGTTTTTTGGCAGCTTTCCCCCTCCTTTCCCCTTCCAAAAATCGGAACCAAACAGTCCCTTAAGAGTCCATGTCATTTCGTGACTCCCAAATCTTTGTTTAACTCTGTATTTAGATCAATCAAATCTTCAAGTTTTTGACGTAGAAGCCCAAATCTATTAAGTTATTCTAAGGGTTAAATTTAGAAAACCCCTATAACTATAGGTTTTGTCTCAAAAAACCCCGTCAAGTTTGGTGTTATTGTAGATAACCGCCCCTAGATTTTCAAAATATGACTTAACCCCTCCCATCAACTATGAGGTATCACATAAAACCCAAATTATCTTTACAATTTTCAAATAAATCCTCTAACATAATGAATTTAAAATGTGAATTGATTAAAACACCCTTAGTTGAAAAACAAAAGCTAAATATGAGGGGCGTTTCTTGGAACAACAACTTACAAGAATAAAATAAAATAATAAAAAAACCCCAAAGGCAAAGAACAAGAAAAACATATTCACATATTGTCTTCTTCATTCTCTTTTTCTTCTGCGTCAAATTTCCATGCAAAAAAAAAAAAACCACAATTATTAGTCTTCAATCCAATGGATTTTGATGGGAAACATCTTTAAAAAATACTGTAACTTCTATTTTTCTTAAACAGTAGAAACATAAATAAGTACGAAACATAAGAAATTAATGTTAGCCTAAGGTGTAGACCCGAGACAAGAGCTAGAATCAAAACAACGAGAAAACAAGCAGACAGATCCACGGTCGACCGCGGTCGCCGCGGTCGACCGCGAACATGCACAAGAGTTGGGAGGAGTTGAAGCTGAAGGCGGTCGACCACGGCGGTCGCCCGCGCCAACCCTGTAGGAATTTTGGTCTCGGGTTTTTGGTTCGGTCGACCACGGCAGTCGACCGCTCAACTCTCTGGAAATCTGGGAGTTTCTGTCGTTTGGCACGGTCGACCGTCGCGGTCGACCACGAGACTTGCGCGGTCGACCGCGACGCAGTCAAACAGTTTCCTAAACTGTTTTGGATTATGTTTTATCCAGGACTCTATATATACCTTAAACGTTTTTAGGGTTGTAACAACACGAAAAAGAGAGTTTTTTGACTGCAAGAAGAGAGAGAATCTCAGAGAGATTAAACTCTAGTTTGAGAGCTTGTAATTCTTCTTCAATTAATAAAGAGATTGTATGGTGTGGCTCCTGAGGACGTAGGCATGTTGCCAATGAAGGAAATCGTGCTATGTCTACATGCATAATACACAGCGGAAGACATGTATGTACAAAAAATACTAATACACAGCGGAAGACATGTATGTACAAAAAATACTAAGCATGTAGAGAGCATGAAATATTCATATGGATTGTCTAATTAAATCTAACATGATCCTAGCATGAAATATTCATATGGATTGTCTAATTAAATCTAACATGATCCTTATTATTAAGTGAGCATACAAGTTTGAAAGTCATACTTTTGTAGCGTGATTCGATAATGAATCGAATAACCTTTAGCTTGCTCTCTTTGATGTAGAAAGCTCCTCGTAGTGGATCTCCAACTCTTCAAGTAAACCTAAAAGCTTTTGGATGCTGCTTGAGACGCGAGGCAAGATATCCACCCCGGGTTCTTAAAATCCTACTACTTCCTCTTACTCAAAGATTACTAAAGTTTAGTAAGATGTATAGCTCTCTTTCATTCTCTTATGGAAATTTAATTTTTCATTAGCCTTTCATGAAGAGAGAGAGCTCATATTTATAGAGTGAAATGTGTTCATGACATGAATGACTCATCCTATGAGTCATGCAATGAATCATTAAATATTAATGATTAATCTAGTGAGTCATGCAATGAATCATCTCATGAATCATTACATTTCAAAACCATGTGCTAATAAACCATGTGCTCAAACCATACCACTAAGTGACTCATCTCATGACTCATTATACATGGTATGTGTATTTCATAAATAAAAATACCAAATCAATATTACTAATACAGTATTTCATAAATACGGTATATAGTATTATTCCAATCTTTAACTAATTAGTCACTATATGACCAAATAAATCAAGAGTTGACCAAAAGTCAACTGTTGACCAAAATGACCAAAAAGTTAACTTTATGGGAAAAATACTAGAATTCATTTCCTAAGCACATAGCATTCCGATTTTACCGATATACATAACCGTTTATGTGTATCCGGTAAAAAAATCATATATGCGTATCAATCATACACATCATTCTATAAATTGTGTTTCATAGGATTTAAGTACGCGCTTGGTGTGACTCTAGGGACCAACTTAAAAAAATCGGTAGTAGATCATATCCAAAAGTACAACAGAGGTACAACAGAGGTGCTAGCTACACATGAACACCACCCGGGTATAAGTTGTGATAAAGGTCTGTAAGATGATTATCCAATTTTATCAGGACCACTTAATGATAATACTGTACAGTCCGGTCTCTTCGTCAAACCATGTCAAACTATTAAGCCTAGGGTATGGCAAACCGTCAAACACTAATAGCTTGATTAGTGTTTATTGATATTAAACTCATAACTTATAAGATCAAACTGACACTCAGTTTATCTTATTCACCTTGGCCAATGATTTCCAGGCTATAGTTATATCAAACAATCTTATGACATCAACTCCTATACTGGGAGAGACGAATCCCTTCTTGGCATCTCAATATCTACTTATGTCTCAGGATGTACCCAACAAGAACCGTTATGCACAATTCAATAAGAACTGTGGTTAGGTAAAAGCCTAAATACATCTTTACTGACATATAAGATACTGCACTCATGCCTCAGGTCAAGAGACTACTATGTACTATATCACTTGATAACTTCTATTTGACAGTTAGGTATATTACCAACTAGATGTTCTCGGTGAGTCGTTCAGTCAACTCATTCACTAATGAGTCACCTGTATACTGTATCTTGATGTCTCACAATGCAGGTGCCACATATCAGAGAGCCATGTCGAAGATTTTTCAGGAGCATCTCCGAAAGACTGTCGAATGCTACGTGGATGATTTGGTCGTGAAAAGTCGTGATAAGAAAGATCACATTAAGGACTTGAAGACCATGTTCGACTTGATGCGAACCCATCAGTTGGAAATGAATCCTACCAAATCTTTCCTTGGGATGTCCAGTGGTAAATGTTTGGTTCAAAAGTCGCTGCTGTGGAATTCATTATAACTTTGTTCAATTACAACAAATTCGAAAGAATAATCTTTTTATAAGACTTTTTCTACACAACAAAACAAAAATTACAACATCAGATAAATCTGACCAAAATAGCTTACTATCATTTTGAACAAGGATGTTATATATATAGGTCCTGTTACATTATACAATAATTGTCTGCAGGGTACCTATATCTAACAGCCGAACCTCGTTAAATCTGTGTGTTCGTCTCCTTTACTATTTTTGCAAGGTTAGATCTTTATTTGTGGTATTATTCCTACTTTCCTACTTTCAACACAAGGTCCGGAAGGGCAAGGGTTCGATTGATTGTTTCGAATCCCCAACAACTGGTATCAGAGCTTCGTTCAGCAATTTGTGTGAAAGCCATGGCAGAGGAAAGCAAATCAAAGATTGAGAAGTTCGACGGATCGGACTTCGCCTACTGGAAGTCGCAGATGGAGGACTATCTGTACTAGAAGGACTTGTATCGCCCGTTGATGGGTAAGGAAAATGTAAATAAGAAGGTGGAGTCAGATGGTGATTGGGAGATATTGGATAGGAAGGCTCTAGGGCAAATCCGGTTGTCGCTCACCAAAATCAGTAGCCCACAATATTCTGAAGGAGAAGACGACGGTGGGGCTTATGGAAGGCTTGCGAAGATGTACGAGCAACTGTCGGCAGCAAACAAGGTGCATCTAGTCAAAACTCTTTTCAACCTCAAGATGGCAGAAGGACGGTCCTTTTGATGCATCTCAACGAGTTCAACATGATTGTTGATCAGTTTATCTCCGTGGACATCACGTTTGATGACGAAGTGTAGGCCCTATTGTTACTATCGCAGTTGTCGGATAGTTGGGCAGGTTGTGTGATGACAATCAGCAATTCAGCGGGGAAGGAGAAGTTGAAGCTGAGTGAGGTGGTTAGCATGATTCTATCCAAGGAGGTTAGAAGAAAATCGTCCGAATCAGAAGGTTCAGGTTCAGCTCTAAGTTTTAAGCAGAGAGGCAGAAGCTAGAAGAAAGGAAACCAAAACTCGAAGGTTAGGCCTATCAAAAGAAAGTGTTGGAACTGCGGCCAAGAGGGCCATATGTCTTCAGTCTGCAAAAGTCCAAAGAAGAATTCGGGTGAGCAGCAGGCTCATATTGTGCAGGATGCCTTGATTCTTGCAATGGACATCGATTCAAATTTTTGGGTCATCGATTCAGGAGCCTCTTTTCACGCCACTACTAACTGTTTGCGTCGAAAATTGATGTATTCATTGCGGTATTCATTACAACTTCAATCGTTACAATGAAAACAAAAAAAATTGTCTTTTTATAAGACTTTTACACAATAAAAACAAAAGTTTACAACTCTTATCAAAACAAACGCAGAGGATGTTTATCACCCGCTGCTTTGCATGGGATCTTGGCCTGTGCCGGGGTTTATCCGTGGACCGCCTTAGATCTGGATCCGGTTGATGGAAAGTTCGGCAGAGCTTCGCCTTCACCGAGGAAGTATTTGATTTGAAGCGCTGAGATCGACCAAGCAAAATCAGGGCTCTTCTCGAGATTAAGACCAAGCCTAATCTCAAGGGACGGACGGACGGGGTTCAGATCCTTCGAATAGCTCATTCTTTATGCCGAAGTTCGCCGGGATTTGATTTGCCTTCGCTGAAATTCGTGCTCCTTGACTCCTCAATCCAGCAGCACCTCCACATCTTGATAATAACTCTACCCCC